GCAGAAAAGCTCCCAGCTCGAACAACTGGCCAATTGCTAAGTGGGGATGACTGACCAAATCACTCAATATGGGAAAGCAACCCCAAACCTTGTAGACCGCTGCTTGATGACTACTACATGGACTCCCCTCTTTTTCCTTAGCAGGATAATGATGAAAAATAATCTCGGCATGACAGGATTGTTTTCCTTTGGCTTCTACAGCCCCAAGTGCAGTGAGGGCTGTACTTAGGCAAAAGTGACCTGCACAAAACAGAGGCATCAGGAATCACTCTGTTACTGGGCCCTATTCAAGAGGGTCCACTTTGTTGCCACAGGCTAGATAGACTTTTGACTAGATAGTCTTTTGAAATCAGAGCAATCCACGGACACAACTGTCCACAAGGCCTTTGAAGCCCTTGGGGTCTCCTGGTTTCTGACGTTGGACTTGCCTCCTGATCTTTAATAAAGCCAAATGCCAGGTCAAGAGCATAGGCAGCCTCATGATGGGATTCTGCCTTCACCGAGACAGCTTTATAGCTTGTAACGGCAGGCAGGGAATTCAGAGCCCTGAACAGTAACAGTGTGGTGGACCCGGCTGCAATAGCTTATTCTGAAACCCTTTTTAGTAAGAAACAGGTATTTAGTAAGAAACAGGTATTTTTTCTTTAAAGAGAATGCGTATTTTGCAAATACAATTTCTCACCTTTAAAATCCTTCAGTTTCTCAGCACAAAACTTTTTTGGTCTGTTTGATTTTCTCCCTTCTCTGCTTTTACTTTTTGTGTTCAAAAAGAACAATGTCGGGAGAGACAGAAAAGCTCTTATTTGTCAGTTAAAATTGACAAATATCTCTTATTTCAATATCTCAGATTTCTCTTATTTCAGGTTTCTGTGAGGAAAGTGAGAAAAAAAGTGAGAAAAATATGGCAAATTTTTAAAATAACTGGGAAAAAAGAACCAATGTTCAAACAGCTTTACTCTGGAGATAACACTTTACACACCTCACACTTTACACACACTTTACACACAACTCAACACCAAACTATTACCCTTTGTCAAAGCAGAAAGAAGCTGCTTTCTAATTTCGGGTGTCTTGTTTTCTAAATTGCATAGCAACTTCACTACTGTAGCCTTCTTTGCTACATCTGGATCCAAAAGAAATTCAAAGGGGAAAAAGTTTACTATGGTAGCAGTGGATAACCATAGCAGCAACTCTTAAGAGTAGGCTGGAAACTTCACTTTAGCCCAAGGTGCTAACGTGCTACCTCAGTGTACACACTGAGCGACATCTTTTTGAAAAGACCGGAGAAACTGAAGAGCTGGGGTAGATTCAGGCCTAATCATCCAAGCTGCCATCACTCAGTCAATGCACAGGAATCCGTTGATCCACGGTAATCTGGTTGTGCATCTGAACCAGTGCGTCCAAAGATGAATCTAATTCATTGAAATCAAATAACCAACCAGCTGAAAGTCTGACCCAACAGCACTCACACTCATGACAGTTACTGTTTACTTAGCAGCAAGGCCCTTCACAGACAAAAAGGTAGGTGAGGTCCATGCCTCAAAAAGTGTTATCTACTTCAATGGCATGAAAATAAGATACCACTTAGGACAAATCACAAAATACTCTCACAGATGGAAAAGAGGAATTGGGAACTACTCATTTCTCACAGACTCACAGAATGGTTGAGGTTGGAAGGGACCTCTAGAGATCATCTAGTCCAGCCCTGCTAGAGCACACGGCACAGGGGGGCATCCAGGCGGGTGTGGAAGATCTCCAGAGAAGGAGACTCCACAGCCTCTCTGGGCAGCCTGTTCCAAGGCTGTCACCTCAGTCACTGAAAATGCATCATCTTTCAATGCAGGTCAAACCTCACCAACAAGCACCTTTGAAAATATCCACCCAACAAAATATTTTGACCTGTAAATTTCTGTCTGCATCCTTGGTGTGATTTTCCCTGTGATTCTTGGGCTACTTGAGGTTATCATCTAACACACTTCCATGTTTACATAAGGGGAACAAAATCTTATATCTTAGGAATATTTGTTCATGTTTGTGAAGTATTTTAGCTTGAAGGAAAAAATCTTTGCTGACATTATGGAAGCACAAAGAGACCATAATAAAGCCTAACTGGCTGCTCAAGGTTCCCCTATGGTGAAACACTCCCTAGCTGGATGGATGGCTCTTACTCCCACTGTCGTCCCCTAGTGTTGAGAAAATGCTGGGGAATCTCTTGAGCACTACTGCATTCGAGCAGTTGTCACAGTGGCCTCCAAAACAACCTGGAGATGGAACAAGCCAACTACAGCTCCAGGCACCATGCAAGTGCTGCCATGGCACAAAGTCACATCAGTCTTTGGGTTGAGGCTGAGCACAGTCAGACAAATTTCCATGGCTGGAGTCAAAAGTTGGTAATTTTTAAATGTTGTAGTCATACAGTTCTGTGTCACTGGGCCAGAGGAGTCCAAGTTCAACTCTACTGTATGTGTGGTAGAGGCCCTTTGTTTTTTAATATGGAAGGAGGGCAAATGTTTTATTCACAAGGCCTTTTAATGTTGGTGGGCCACAGGAAATTAAGAGGTTTAAGTGGAGGCCAACAGGAAAAGCAAAGTGTGACATGTTGTATTGCTTATTCAAAGCCAATGAAGATTGGGAACAACATTTCTATACAAAGGACTGTTTATATCAACCACAGCGTAATTTTAAATTTCCTGCATGAGTCATTTTTTTGGTATCTTTTTGTCCTGTCTCTGTCACTATCCATTGGACTGAAAAACATAAGCAAGATCATGTTAAAAATACTTTTTTGCTTTTTAAGGAAATCCTTACAAATCTGGATTCCTGTAAAACCCCACCACCCTTCACCACTAGTACGCCAAAGAGTAAGAGCAGAAGCTGAGCAGTCACTCTAAGGAATGGGTTTACGATTTACAATCTGAGGCTCTGGAAAATAAGAGACTTGGCAGCTTTGAAGAATAACTCGGCTAAATTAACTCGCTCTGACCTAAAGGTGCCACCTTTAGCAACATTTCACAGTTTTACATCCAGAACCGTTGAGCACCTAGAGGATCCAGGAGGAAAGGAGAAACTTTTGCACCTCTGAACAGTCTCTGCACCCATGTAGTACTTGGCTTCTCTCCCAATACTGATAGTAAAAAGAGCATCACCCAGGGGACTTCTGTGATGCCTATCTGAGGGGAGGAGACCTCCAGAAGGCACTTGTGACAGGCAAGCAGCACACAACTGTCCAGGCAAATTCATCTTTCTTCTTTATCCACATACAACAGCTCTACATCAAGGTGCGACATTCACATCTCCCATTTCCCCCCACTGCTGCAAAATGAAGAATTTGTGTGCTTAGGATTAATGATTTAAAAAAAAAAAAAAAAGAGTTTTTTAAGTCAGGTTTCCTGCCATGCAATACAATGCAAACGCGTGTTTCTCTTCTTAAACACATTTTAGCTTTTGTGTGGATGTGTGAAAAGAGTCCATTATTAAACCTGAATCATTTAAGCAATATTGGAAATGCCCCTGCCCTTTTGTTAATTTGCTTGGCTTGCTGCACACATGGCATTTGTTTTATATCATGTGTGGAACTTGCTTCTTTAAGAAGTCTGAAGGTTTCAAATTCCTCCGCTTTTGATAGATGTACTGTATGTACTGTTAGATTTAAAAAAAAAGTTACAGGTGGCTGCTATTTTTCCCAATTCAGTCCACAAAAGCGCCTTTATTAAATGAAGTCCTTAATGAAAAGAAAAGTAGAGCTACTGTATGTGAGATTGCAAAGATCTCTGGTGGAAATATTTGGTGTTTACATTTTGCCGAACTATTTATACTGTGGACACATACTACACTAAAGGCTCTCTCTTCTCTGCATAATAGAAATCCTTGTGACTGAATTCTATATACTTAGTATGGTTTACATTTTTTATCCAGCCTTACCACATTTTATTCCACCCTGTTTTCTGGAGGACTTTGTGTGTCTCTAACTGAGCTGTATAATAGCAACACCTTCTGGAAGAAGGCAGACACTGGAGAATCACTGTTGCCTTACGTGTCCCGTTTTCAGTCACCGAGTACGTTACCAATACCTCAGAAATTTAGAGTAATAATCAAGACGCATCACCAGCTGTATGTGCATCATTAGCAGTAGCTGAAAACTCCGAGTTTTTTTGTTAATAACTCTTTCAGAGTCTTTTTATTAAGACTACTCTTAACAGCTAGTATGCAGTATTTAAATGGCACAGGATTTATGGGTCTGAGCTGCATACCATTTGCCTGACTATAAGAAAAGGTGAATAAAAAAGGTAAGAAAAGAGCACCCTGTTCCTCATGGAAGTAGTCACCTCACCAGCTTATCATGGACAGACAGGGAAGGGAGGGTTGGTGGCAGGGGGAACCATTTAACTGCCTTTTAACTTCGGTTTTGGGTTATACTTCCTTACGCAACGTACTGCAGAGAGTTACTGCCTGCTGTAATAAGAATACTTCTAATTATATCTTCGAACAGAGTTGCAACCAACCATTTTCACACCAGTGTGAGGAAAACATGGCTAGAGAAACAGAGAAAGAGAAGGAATGTCCACAACAAAAGAACATACAGAAGAGCAAGAGGCAAGGACAGGCGCAGCGCACAGCTCTGCCTTCCATGTTTGATCCGCTAGGTTACAGATTTTAGACAACTTGCTTTAATGGCACCAGACTGACAAAAAACCACATTTGAAAGAGGGAGAAATTATTTAAAAGGAGAAATGTGAAAGGTCCTGAAACATATGGTTAAGGGAGTTTTCAGTTGGCTTGAAGGGTGCAGAAATGAGACTGTCTATAAGGCTCAAAAAATGGATGCTGATCTCACACAGGGCCAGCCCCCTCCCGGGTGGCTAAACAGTAATTGTGGGCACTTTTCTTCATGTCAGGACTAAAAGTGCTGCAGCTGGCAAATTTCGATAATTCACAAAGTTAATACAGGCTTTTCCATTTTGCTGCCCATTTTCACAAGAAAAGCACTGCTCCCCCTTCTGCTTCCCCACCTCGTGCAGGTATGTCTCTGAGTAAACAAGCCCTGTGCTCTTCACTTCAACACTGACTTCCAGCAGCTTCCACATCCAATTCCCCTTTTGGCCAAGCTTTCGTTCTGAGGACATTTCTTTCTGCACACCTTTACATGTGCTGGCCTCAGCAGCACCTGCTCATGGCCCCCTAGTAAGGGGGCCAGTATCTCACAAGTGTAAGTGCGACGTGGCTATCGCCTGCCTGATGCTCTGGTTTTCCTCCTTGCCTTCTGCAAAGCAGCTCTGAAGGAGAAGCCTTCTGAGAAACACAAGATTCTCCAAAATGGAGAGGGGAAAACCCCCCAAACCTGCAAGTTATCCTAAGGTGCCTCATCTGTGAGGGGGAAATCTGCCTAGGAAAAGGCACTCGTGGGTGACACGCTCCACCCCAGCCGTAGGTTTTCCTGCTCCCCACACCTGTGGCGACCAAGGGCCACGGGATGAGGAAGCCCTGGTAGCTGTTCCCTCACAGCCTCCCTCTGGCGGCCATGGCTTTACTGCATCGCCGTGCTGGGGCAGAGGGCAACCCAGGCCGCAGAGGCTGTATCAGAGTCCCCCAGCAAGACAGAGGCTGTGCTGGGCTCCTTACACGTCTGGCCTGGGATCCCCCACTAACAGTGACACCAGGCACTATGCGAGCCGGCCCACGAGAGGATGGAGATGGCTGTTCTGGGGAGCTCGCAAATCCTTCCCCAGCTCCCGGCTCCTTCCCTTCGCCTGCCTTGGCAGCCTGTTCTGGCAGCCAGACGCTCTCACCTAAGACTCCTCCAGCTGGTGAAGCATCTTGGCGCTTCTGCCTCCCTATGCCCACACACTTTCATCAACTTCAGCAGTAACCCTTTTAAGTGTTATCTTGCAGGCCTAATTACTTCAAATGCATATATCTTTCTTTTTTTTTTTCCTGGTTGACAGCATTGGACAGGTGGAAATTTAGCGCCATCTATTGCTAACTAATAAAACACCGCTTGGCAAGAAAGCAAGAAGGGCCTTCTCCACACAGGAGCGCTTGGGCAGCCGCCTTGGCCAGGGGGGTTGTGGGACCCAGGAGGAGCAGATCTTGCAGAAAAGTTTCTGCTTTGAACTGATAGTTAAAGCATTGTATTTCCCAGAAAGAAATGTAAAAGCCTATGGTTTCACCTTCAAAAATGTCTTCAATATGGAAATCTCATGAGAACTAATTTGCTTGTGAGTTTCTGAAATCTCACAGTTCGAGTTTGACCTGAAATACTGCGGCATCCTGCTCTTTCTACCCCTCCCTCCTACCCCACGCTGTGTTTCTGTAACACTCCTCCAAGGAGCACATCCACTGCTGACGGATTATGGTGAGAAAGAGTGATGCTTCTGGAGAATCCTGATGCAAGAAGATGATGGTGGCCTGTTCTCTCCCAAGTGCTCGTAAGAAGGATTTTTATTTCCGTTTTGCTTGATTTGGAAGAAACGTGGTACTAAGGCTTTTAAACAAGTACAAAACGAATTAGTACTTTTGTGTTTGTTGGCAGGGTTAATATAGATGGTTTCTTGTTTAAATACACTCTCTGCCTCTGTTCTCTATATTCGTATTGCCTTTTTTTTTTCTTTCTTTCTTTCTTTCTCTCTTCTCCTGAGACTAGGGTGCTGGAGGGAAGGGGAAAGATGTTACTGGGATATGGAAAAGAGGATGTTATTTTGTCTGAGGGCTGTTCTGTTTCCTGAACAGGCTCTACAGTCAGCGAAGTAATTGGAAATAGATCCCAATCCCCTGAAAACCTTCTAGTTTCAAGTAAAACAGCAGCAACAGGCTAGAGTAACAATGCTACAGAATATCTCCCAGAGAAGACAGTATTCATATTTGCTGGTAAACATAATGTGGCAGAAGTGGGTTTGGGTAAAAGCGGGATATTTTAGTACAAGTTAAATCACACTGCATTATAAAAGTTCTGCAAAAGCCTGTTCTACCTTACACAAACTCTCAGGACTGTCAAGAAAACCCCGAAGACCTGAGTCGCCTGGGATCAGTAATTTTAAAGTCCATCTGTTCTTCCTGAGCTACGAGTCCTGTGAGACCATGAATCCATTCCAGACTTCTGCTAGCAGCAATGCCAACTAGGAGCATGGCGGATTGTGATTTCCCCAACAGAGCTGTGCCAGCCAAAGCCCCAAATGACTCCGTTGTTCTAAGAAAAATGTGTGTTTCCTAGAATAGCTTTTCCTACGCGCAGTCGCAGCTAGGTATGGTTCTTACTACATAAACAGCAAATTAAGCTTGGCTGGTAGAGCTGCAGCTGTATTTCTGTATTGATAAAAAGTGCCTAAACACAAACATAAGAGCAAAGCATATCACACTTTGGTCATAAGCAAGTTTGGAGGTTGTTTATGCAAGTATGGCTAAAAACATATTGCTACCTCACAGAGACTTTACTGTTCTTTATTGAGACTTTACATTTCATTTACTCAGTGAAAGCCATTTCAGACTGAAAGCATGCAGGGTTTTGTGGGTTTGGTTGTTTTGTGTGTGAAAAACTACAACTCTTCTTGCATCCCTTAGAATTTTCAAGGGAAGGCAGGACTGCCCATCTCCCAGGATGGGCATCTTTCTTCAAGCAAGGAGAAAAATCCAATCCTGCATCTCAAGTTAAAAGAGTAATTTGCCTGGAAAGTTAAAATTGTGAAAAAACAACGTAGAGTCACTCTGCCAGTGGAAAGTAGAGGGATCAAAGTCTGATTGCTGGAGACAAGGCAGGTTTTAAGTATAAGCTAAGTGAAGAAAAGTTGGGAGCTCTGTGTTTTACAAGGCAATGAATGTTCCTTCAGTTCAGACATTAAAAAAAAATAAAAAGTTTGAAGAGCAAAAATATTTCACTTGCGGAAGGAAAGATTACTTATTACTCATTACTGTCTATGTCTCTACTCGCCCCTCACCTGGTACACCAGTAGAGAGTTCTCTCAGGTCTGGACGTGGCACCAGGCAATTCTGGATCGTGGCGATCTTGGTTAAGTCAATCTATCTACTGCAGCTGGGCTCCATTTTTTTTTCTATGTCTCTACTCCCCCCTCACCTGGTACACCAGTAGAGAGCTCTCTCAGGTCTGGACGTGGCGCCAGGCAATTCTGGATCATGGCGATCTTGGTTAAGTCAATCTACTGCAGCTGGGCTCCATTTTTTTTTTCCTCCCCTCCCCTTCCCTAAGGGATAAGAAATGGGATCTTTGTTTCACAGATGATTGTGGGGCTTCATAGTTCACTGGGCTGAAGTCAAGACCATAAAAATAAATGCAGTAAATATTTCAAGTCTCGTCCTTGTGGATTCTTTACCCTATCCTTGTTAGTAATATAAAAGAACTTTGTACTTGTACAACAGCCAGTCCTAAATTAAGAAAGCTATGGGTACAAAAAATACCACCACTGAACATGTAAGCCTAGAAACTTGGCTTTCTGGTGTTCTTTCTAGAGTCCTTCCTGCAGCCTGCCTCTTTCTGAGGTCCAAGTTGTATTTGATCTACCTGCACAAAGGAAAAAGGCTTAAATTTCAAGTGGCTAGGTACCTGTTGTTCCTACACTTAATTTCTTTTGAGCACTTGTAATCCAAGGATATATCATTTGTGATGCAGAGCGGTGCATTACAGCAATGCAATCTCTTCCAAGGCTAGGTGAAAATGAACTAGATGTTTGTTTGCTTAAACCCAAATCACTACTGTAGACCGACAAGGCCTGGAATTATATGAGGTTTAGCCATGAATAAGTTCGATTCTTTTGCATTTAAATGTCACTGTCAGCTGTAGGCAACGTTCCAGCTTGCAAAGTTTCACTGAAACGGGAAGCAAAAATGAATCTTGGCAGAAATGCGATCATAAGATTTAATTGAAAGAGTAAGCACACTATTATAAATTAATGTAGAAAAGGCAGCCATGGCAGAATCTGTCTTCTGTTCCATATGGCTCTTCATTGCTGCAGTATTGGACGTCATACAGCCTGTCATGCATTTATCCTCACAGGAGTCTCTCAGCTAGCTAAGAACTATTACTCCGATCTTACAGCTGGAAAATAGGAGCTAGGAGAGATACCTGACCTGCCCAAAGCCCAGAAAGGAATTGATCGAGGGTAACCACTAATCTTTTCTTCCTTTCCATGTTGCTTAGAATTTTTCCCTAATGAAAACCACTCTTAACTGGTAGACATACATTATGCACCACACAGAGACCTAGAAAATTGTCTTTTAAAAACAAATCATTACAAACCAAGATGTCTCTAGCAGTTCACTATAATTTCAGATTGATTTTCAGTTTTCCTGTAAAAGATCTCAAACCTACCATCTTATTATTGAATAATGCAATAATTGTTAAACTCTATTTGGTTGATTACTGAACTGTGAATCGGGATTTTCTTATTTCATGAAAAATTACTTGGCATTTTTTAAACATGAAAGCCATACATTTTTCTGGCTACCTGCTTTATACACAAAACTGTTTTTCCGAACAATACATGTTTTATTAGTGAAAAAATTAAACAAATGGTTAAAGCAGGTTAAACAACTATGCAACAGAGGAATTTTGCCTTGAATTTGATGACTTGATGTTATCAATGGTAGTCTCACTGGGTCAAACACTGTTACTCTAGCAGCTTAAATAAAGATTAAAGCCTTTTTATGTTACTTTCTAGGATAAACTTGTCACAAATAGGTTGTGAGCTGGACAGATACATGTACGTGTTCAGAAAATAAAGCTTGTCTTTAAATATGATCCTATCCTGTAAAAATATTAGAGTTCTTTTATAAGCCCAAAGTTATCAACACCTGTCTTATCTGTTGATTTCTCATTGTCTTAATATTGACAAATCTTGCCAATAGTACTCACACCAAAAACAGGAAAGTAGTAGAGATGCTGATTTTGTTTGTTAGGCTGTGAAATGAAGTGTGAAATGAGGATTTTTTTCTCTGTGAAACAGGCTGGAGACTAGCAAAACGAAGCCCCTTCCGAGCCCGTTTCACAGCTAAACATCTACAAGAGGTATGACCAAGCTCTCTCCATCCACCTTTGCTGAGGGAAGGTGCTGCAAAATAGGAACCCAGTGGGGCTGAACTTTCAGACAAAGTAGCCACCTGACCTAAAAAAAAACCTGCTGAGTGGTTATGTTTCATTTTCATAATGCACTAGCATTATCAGTTGCAAGGTTTTGATACATGTCTTGTTAGATAAATCTCAAAAGACACACTTCTCTTTGGAGGTCATACTTCACAGGGATGAAGCGCACCAGTAATTGTAATCCCACTAGAGCTTTTCAACAAAAACAAGAAACAGGCAGTGAATTAGGTAATATTACTTCTTTAGCTTGTTTACTTCTTAAAAAGAAAACCTAATTTCAGGAATACATAGGACCAAATAGCAAGAAATGCTCAGAAACCCTGGAGCGTGCCATGCAAAATATCCTACCTTCCTAATGCTGCATTTCACTGCTCCTTCAGGAAAGCACACCCAACACTGTCACTCTGTTTCTCATCTTAACACACACACACTACAAACTCCATTGCCTAAAATGCCCTTGGCACAACCACTGACAAGTCTGAGGATTTTTAGATTAACAACTCACCTGATAGCGGCTATTAGCACTTCTCAGGCTAACGCTATCACCACGGTAGCTGAAGATACCAAAACAGAGCAGGACAAAACATAATTGCTCTCAGGAAGGCAATTTATCATGGATAACGAACTCCTGTGGCACCCACGTAATCCTCGTAGTGACTTCGCAAGTCCACAAAATGTTGTGAAGATTGCTGCCACCTGATAACCCTTGGCATGTCGATTACCCTGGGTTATGGGACAGACAGGCCCGCTTTGCACTAGCAAGTTACTGACCCTACCCCTTTAGAGGGAAAAATGATTGTTAGTGGGGGTTGGGGGTTTCTAAGCTTGGGTTTAACTCAAGCTCAATTGCTTCATCTCCAGAGCTAGAAAAATTCCTCCTGGAAGAGGATGAAATAGCAAGGGAACCTTTATTATGGCTAATGCTTAAAGGGTGGTATTTGCAGGAGAATGTTTTTTCCAGACAGTATCAAAAGAAGCTGACAAAGCACTCAGGCTTTCTGCCCGTTGAAGGCTATCAGTAAGGACAGACTCTTTGGTGAAGGAAGGGGGTGATGCTAAGTCCTTAGAAATGATGTGTGTCTCTACTGGTGCCATCCCAAGTAACAGGTTGGTCAGAGTCTTATCCTCAGAGATAAAAGATACTGTATAAGAGTCTGAGCTGTGGTGCTTTTCTTACTTAAAATTTCAATTTTATTACCTCTCAGGCACTGAGGTTTCTTAAAAATATGGAAGTATTTTTCCAAAGTATTTTTCACCATCTTTTTCACCATCTATTTCTAACCATCTTTCAACTATACCTTTATGATGCAGTTAGAAAAACTTTCAGCAGATTCTTTAAGACCTTATAGTAAAGCAAATGTTACAGTCTTTGCTCAGAAAGCTTAGAAATAAGCCCCGACTTGAGCGAGGCTTGGTGCCTTAGATTTTAAAAGCTGTGCTGGAAAGGCCTTGGACTTCAGAGATAATTCGGTTCTTACCATTTTGCATAACTGGTTTCAGACCCTTGAAAACTGCATCCTGGCTAAAAGGGTAGTCCTGTTCTTCTGTGGATGGCCTATGTATACCCCTTTCTGTGGTCATACAGTGATATGATCACTCTGCAACTGTTTAAATATCAGTAGTGGCACACAAGGCAGGATCAGTCCTGGGGCAGCTGGAAGCAGGAAGAGTAGAGTCATTCTCTGCAGCGGGATCTCAAGAGCATGAAAGTTACCTCAAGTCAGGGCCCAAGCCAATGCCAATTGAATTTAAAGGTGGTGGTAGCGCTGGCTTTGCTTGGTGTTGGTCTACATAAACTTCACCTCTAGGTCAGGTGAGCCATAGTTGCTGTTTTCTTCTTAGATGTGGTATGTTGGATGAGTTTAATCGATATCAAAAGCCATTTCACAGGTGTTTCTGGTAGCAGCAGCCTCCCAGCCCACAGGTGTTAGTGTTTCTGGTAGCAGCAGCCTCCCAGCACTTATTTACTTTGTAAACCCAGTGAGGAACATCTGGGGATGGGTATAAAATCACCTCCTTCACACATGCAAATCTGTGAAGCACAGTCTTTCATATTACAGCACAGCTGCCTAGGCCATCTAGACAGGGCTCAAGCTACACCTTCCTTCTGGAAAATAGAGATCCTCTGGCACTGTGGGCCCAGAGGGATCCTCAGGCATGTGCTGTGGGTGACTGATCTGCCCACCAGCTATTTTCAGAACGCCTGTCTCACAGGTATTGCCACACACCAAATTTCTAGGACTGTTTGACAAAATACGCAGTGCCTAAAATTAAAGCATGAGTCTATTTTACACAGTCTGTGGTTAGAAATTCTCCGTTTTAAACACTTACAGTTCTGCTTATCTTTAAAGTCAGGTATTCATCACACAAATACTGAATTTGGTTAAGATATTTTCTATGTACAGGAGTTTTCTCTTTTTATTGGTCTAAAAAAAACTTGGCCCACACTGCCATCAAAGTAAAAGCTAAATATTTATGCTGAGAGAATGAATTAACCTAAGTTGAAACTTTGAAAAGAATTCTTCTATGGGTAAGATGAAAAAATCAAATCACAAAAAATATGTTGTTTGGAAATCATTTCAAAAGAATGTATTTTCTCTGAATGACCCATAACAACTGGCAATGATGACAATTCAATACCTTAAAATTTTAAAATAAATCTTAATGTTAAAATAAATTTGTAAATTAGTACAAATGTTACATAATATTCACCTGCAGGTGAAGCAGGATCACAAACACCTGTCAATAAAAATCATTTGCTCAGGTCAGAAGAAAGGAGACAGCTTTCACATTCTTGTAATTTCTTTGTTGTATTTTTCTTTGGAAAAGCACCTAAGGATGCTCTTACAGAAAATTTAGCTCTTTGCAGAATTCTTTGGTTATTCTTTAGCAGCTCCATTAAAATCACCACTGTGATGACACGCTACCATAAGACTAAGCAAAAGGAAAGGATGAAGAACAACTGAAATTCAAAATTAAGAACTTTGTTGATACACCCTCACACTTAGTATTTGTAATTCTTATATTGCCTGTCTATACTGGAATCTCAAACTTGTCCATGCTCTGTTTGTATGTACCAAATGAAGATTTTTTTCCTTCTGCTCTTGCTCTCCCACCATTCTGTTTTAAAATGGATTTTTCCTCACATCAGCTTTACAAGACTGACTGTACAAGACCCCAAATTGGTGCCTTGGCTATGTAGTCTCTTCGGAGAGAGAAAACAGTGGTGGTAATGCTGCATCAAGGTGCTTATTAAACAGAGCTGATGCCAGCTGGTGAGATGGTTCAAAATGAATGAAACAAGGGATCCTTTAAGCTTTGCTAAGAGGCAAAGGTCTCTCTGCCTGTGAAGTCTGCTAAGCATCAGTCCTCAAATTCTTACAACTTGGAACCTACAAATTTTGAAAACTGTCTTACTGAGGCTTAAGCTAGAATTACCGTTAAGGAACTCTGAAAATGGAGAGGTCAAAACACAGGAATAAAGGCTGATTTTGATATGTCAGGCCCATTCCCCTAGCAATAATTAACAACACTTAGTACTTACCTGTATACAGCTTCTTTAAAGTTTCCTGTACCCATGCCAGCCTTCCCTGAAGTGACTAAGAACGAAACCAGATGGAAAATTTACCCTGATGTGTACTTTACCACAGCACGAATCCATACTATCTTTAATCACAGTATTGCCTGTTCTGAAAAAGGGGAATACGTAAAGTATTTTGGTAAATGTAGCCACTACACATGGCAAATGTCAAGATTTTAATGACACTCACTTTTCGGAGCTTTCCACCTTCAAAGGGATTCTCATTGGTTCATATTCTTGAGAGTAATGACTGCTCAGAAGTGCCTTGTGAAGTAAGTGCTCAGAGTATAAAGTTCTCTTCTGGCTTTCTTCCCTCCCTCGAGTTCATTGCTCCAAAACCTTTAGGAATGGGGCTGTATTCAATCACTGCTACCCAGCCGTGACACGTTAAAAGCTGTTTCAAGACAACATGGTTAGCAGCTAGTTCCTTTGCTGTTTGATTTGTCCAGTGTTTCTTACCGTGATGAAACCGCGGGCCTGGCAGGGGCAGACTGCCGCAGTGAAGGCCTCACGCCTCCCGCTCGTGTGGGCGTCGTGCCCTTAGGCTTTGGTGGAAGCCACAAGGAGGGACAAGGGCTTTGCATTTTGACTGTAGATCTGACTCATCTCTCACCACTGAGGTCTCACTCTATTGTTCTTAAATGCCACGCTTCATTCAGTAATTCTTTTTTTCTTCTAATTTAGCCTTCAAGAACCATTTTCTTTTTCCATAACAGCTCCTATCCATGGGATAATTATGCTTAGTTAGTTGTACTCAACAATGATGATTTCATAACACGACACAAACAGGTGCCCATTAAATTCCTTTATTGGGGACAGAAACATTGCATAATTACAGATTTGATGAGGAAAACTGCAAATAGTGTAGACTGCTTCTACTGCCAGCAAAATACAGTTATTACAGGATTTATAGACATACAAATATAAAGTGTTTCTTTCATGCCAGATGGTCGGTATGTAACAATGCCATTAGGAGCATTTACTTGTGCTTCTACAAAACCTTTAAAGAAGAATGAGGTAGAGTTTCCTTTATTTTATCCAGTATTTTTTCACACATCTGTCCTTTAATGCTTTTATATGCTTGGATCCTTGTAAAATACCTCGTTAACTTTAACACTTATGAAAACAACAGCCCTTAAGAGGTGTTTACTTCTCTCTCTTTAAACTGTTCATTTCCCTCTGCTTCGATGCTACAATTCCTAGGCCTACTGCAGCACCCTTCTGCATGCCTTGAATACCAGGTAGACTGGCACATCTTTCTTCCCAATTCTACTGCTCCAGCTATGGCTTTAGTTTCCTATAAAGCCCTGCCTTGTCCCCACCATGTCAAAGAACCACCCTCATCATTCTGACACTCTTTATTGTAGTAGCTAAGCTGCAGTCCAAGCCATGTCCCAAAGAGATGCAGGGAACAGATTCCCTCTTTTTCAACACCTATGATTATGGGATTGAGTTCATGATGTTCCTGCCACCTGGCTGCAGTCATAGCCAGCTAGTTAGAAAACTGACAGTTATGAGAACTGAGAAGATCACTGACTGTAAAAGACAGTTTCTCACTTATATGACTGAGCATTGCCTCTTTGTTTTGATCTACCGTTTCACTGTTTCATGACTATACAAAGTGAGTTGCAGGTTTCAGTTAAGTAACTAAGACCCAATTATGAAAATGTAGGCATAAATCGTAAGTACTTAAGCAAAATAAGAGCTGTCTTAAATAGCAAGCTATCATCCTCCTAGACATTTGGTATTCTTGGGTAGTCTTTGTTTAAGACTGAATGAAAAAATGGTAACGTTGTTCTTCTGAACTATGTTGTCTTGAAGTATCGAGATGGATGATTACAGTCTTACTCCTCAGCATCCCTGTTCTGGAGACAAAAGACCTTTCAATTTTTGTTCTGGCTTCTGCCACTAGCATTAGTACTTACAGAAAAGCTCGGAGTATGCTAGGGCACATAGCAGAGACAAAAACAAACCAATAAAAACCACTATTTCAACTGAAAAGTTCACAGTTATAGTAGAGACTAAATCATAACCAAGAAGGGTTTTGGTATAAAGGAAGAAGGCAATTACAAAAATAAGAAAAATACTTGCTTTTTTGGTCTTAACCTAGTGAGACATGAGAGTTTTAAACTAACTAATCTGTGATATTGTATCAGATTTTTAAAAGGAAAAGAACAAAAGTTGTAAAAAGGCCCAAAGCTTAAAAGATCACATGTTCATATCTTGATCACTTTGATCAAAAAATAAAAGAAGATCTGTTCATGCAAGATATTACTGGCTAAGATGATTTTTGAATTCCCCTGTCTCCCACTTTAATGACTGTTCCATGCCTGACAAAATCAAGCCTAGCTTGATCAGGAGAACCAACTCCTAGAAACTTTTCCAATTCTTGGTTGGAAAAAAATATACGGAGCATATTTTATTTACTTTTCCCTGTACAGCTCTTTGGTCAATAACAAAAATGATCCTGGAGAGAAGGAGGAAACATAAAATAAAGGACTCTAAAGCCCTAGACAACCCTCTGGTATACTGCAGTGTGTAATTATTTCCACATAGGTAATTTCTGTTTTTCTATGTTTATTTTATATAACAGATATTCTAAAAATATTCTATAGGCAAAGTCTTAGATCCTCTTTTACATCTTCCTATGAACATGGAATTTAAGATTCTTTTATTTAAAGCACATCATGAGAATTCAGGATTGAGTGAGGCACAATAAATTAAGTTTTAAGGTAAGCAAACTCAGCATAAATTCATATTCACAGACAAGGAAGAACTTTTAGTAATGGTGAATTTAAACACATCTCTTTTTAGTAAAGGTAGGTGTGGTTAACCTTGCTGGTGTGGTCAATAATTTTTACTTCCATCTGAACTACTAAGCCTAAAATTTGGTTTTACGATAAGGGTTGATTACTATAGTTCAGTATTGTTCTATACCTGCCTAGCTACTGTACTTGATTGCTATAGTTCAAGCTAATGGAGAAGCCAGTTTTGTTTATGCAGTTGGGGATATATTTGCCAGCTGTGCTATGGATGGCACTCAGATCTTGCATAGCTGGGAAAATAGCCTGGGATTCCCACTAATAACCATCATGCTCAACCAAAGCATAGGCAGGAGGATTGTAACAACAGCATTTTTCACCACTGCAGTATCAATACCATCTTTTGCTAAAGACTAAAAATACAGCTACTTATTAAGTAGCTTAAGAGATTTAGAACCTATCAATTATCTCGACAAATCTTCAGTGTAGTGACAAAACACAGCCCTTTGACACCTCTCAGTTGTTAAGTCTTACAGTAAAACTGTTCAGAAAAACTGTAGCTTAGATCCATACAAAGATCTGAATGCTACATGACAAAGTGTAGCTCTAGTATAGGTGTAGTCTCATGACTCTACATCGAGAAGCACAAGGCTTCCACGGGCTTCACCATTCAACAAGACTAAGTTCACCTTCAGCTCTCATGAAGAACCGTTCTGCGTGCAACAGTAAAATCTGAACTGCGTATTTTATTTGTTTGTGCAATCACACAGCAAACCTTAAATATACTTCACACTGAAGAAACGTTTTCCTTCTGTATGATCAGGACAATTCCGCACCCTGCTCTGAAGCAATCCTTTAAATATAGTTCTTGGCATCTTTCTCTGCTGCTAAAAAAGGCTTTCTGGAAAACTTATTAATTTTACTTATGGTCAATCCATAGGAAAGTTACTTTTTTTTACAAAAGCTGGATTATAGCTAAAAGCAGTGTAAGTGGTAGTACTAGTACTATTACTTTACACTTACAAAGAGGTTAGATCACTTGCTGAGGATCAGAGCGTCAGTTTGTGCAGGCATTACATGAGGCAGTGCAATTTGTCTCCCAACACCCGCAAGACAAACAAAACACAAAAGCTTTTACTAAACTGTCACACTATTGAAATAAAAACAGCGGAAAATTACTCAAAATAATCACTTTCAGACATAAGACTGAATGACATCATGACAGAAGGGCTGGGGGAAAGGGGTGTGTGGAAGGGAGAGAGAGAGCAAGGAATGGCCTATTGCATGCTCAGCATCATCATTTATACCTGCCCACCTCTGGTATACAAGCCTGACACTGAAATACTAAAAATTCTCATTATTAGGGCAAAACTCATGCTCACAGAGCCAACAATGTGCCACAGTCTGACAGGCTGTGCTACCATTGCACAGCAATGGCTGTGCTATCCTGTTTCACAGCAAAGCACTGTCAGTAGACAGTTCATGCTAAGCCACCCAAAAAGATTATCCTTGTTATTCTAGAGAGACAATCAGACCAAAGAGGGATCTTCCTCTAAAAAGGTGGCTATGAGATCACTCCTGCTGTTTTTCTATCTATCTCCTTAGAAGTGCTACATGTAGACATTTCAAATAACTTGTGCTGCAAATGACTCTCTCAAATATCCCTTTTTTTCCAAATTACATAAATATACGTAAGAGGATCAATGATGTCTCTCAATTAAACTAGATGAACTGTAAATGAGGATTTATCTAGAAAGAGGAAAGGGACTGCAATCGCTTTTTGGCTGATGGCTCGAGATAGCTTAAGAGATGTAAACAATGACTGGACGGAGAGATCCTGCACTGTCTTGTTTTTGTCTTATCATATTTCCCCCCTTTATCCCAGAAAAATCCTATTTGCTTTGCACCACTGCAGACCGAACGGAGTATCTACCCTGTGCAAGAAGCTTTGCTAGCACTCTCACCGAGTCTGTCATTGTAATCCTCAGTGAATTTGCCCTGATTGCTGGTAAGACTCTAGTTAAATAATGCCATTTGCTCATGCCATAGCTCTTGGCATCAAGAAAGCATTCATGGAATTCCAGTTTCATGAGACGTTCTCTCATTTGAAGGGTTTCTTTCCTATGCCCAAGTCATACTCACCAAACTGAAAATTAAGGACATGCCTAATACTGAAAATAATAATCAGAAGAATGAAGAAGGGGGGAGAAAGAACACGCAAAAAATTAGAGTTTGTGATTATCATTTTAAAGTACCACTGTTTGTAAAACATAAACATGTGAAAGGCTGAATCTCATTTGATCAACCCAATTAAACATTAAATAATTGCATCCAATTATGCAAATATCACACAACAGTATTAATTTGTTGATCTTTTTTGAACAGTCTCAAATGCTCCTAATGCTAGACTATCTTATGTCTTAAATGATCAATTAGCAGAACCATAACTAAGTGATGAAGAATGGATAATTGCCTAGTTATGATGTACCAGACTCTTTCTATGTAAATCTGCTGCAATTAAACAAATAGGCCACATAGAAAAGAGATGTGCAGATGTTCTTTTACAATTATTAGTTCAGGGAAAACCACAGTTCCCTCCTAAATTTTTCAGACTAAAATAGGGAGAATGCAATACCAAATACTCACTATTATTTACAAATGCCATTTCTTTCCTTTGGTTAACAGGATAAAAAACAATGACAGAATGCATGGTAGGACTGCATTCCAGATAAGAAGAATCCACTTTCCATGTCCCATAGCTTATTTAGGTTTCAGTTACTTAGGTTTAAAATCTAGAGCCAAACCACAATCACTAAAACAACTTTGTTTCTTCACATTAAATTAATTGCATCCAATCTGAGAAGAGTTTTACACAACTTTGAGGTTGTATGACAATCAAATAATTGTTCTAGCTTGTCCGTATACATTCAAACCAGGGAATTGATTAGTGCTTTTACACTGATGCCCTCACAAGGATTTTTGATATAAAATGTTTCTTACCACTATTTGTCAATGTGTCTTGATGTGTTAAAGGATCATACATCCTGTTCCCCATGCATTTGAGTTTGATATTTCCACCTTTGCTGCTAAAAATAAACTGAACATAAGGGAAGAGGTTACATAGTTCCGCCACAGGTAGCCACATATGATTTCTCATTACATCATCTTTAAAGAGCTCCAAGCCATGCACACTCTAGTTCAAGGCACTCTTTAGTTATGATACTCGCCTCATTGGATAAAACTCTCTACCCCAGACTACAGCTTGACATATTCCTGATATTCATTTTTTCACCCATCTAACTAAAGAAGAAGATTACCAGCAGCTAATAATATGAATAAGATACTCAGCAAAGACCAAAACACAACACAGATTCAAGTGCTAAGAAGAGCAGCGACACAATACTACTGCTACTGTAAATGAAACGGCATTTTGTGCTTGCAGATGCATTCTAAGGAGAAAACTGTCCAACATATTTTACCAGTGGTTACATTGTCAGAGAGAACCTTCAACTGTTCTTCATTAAAATAATAGATTTCATTGCAGTGAAAGACAGTAAAGTCATCACATGAGGGACCAAAAGTAATTGATGGCTAAGTAGCATTTGTCTTTAAAATCTGTCCAAAATGAACAGGAAAGCCATATGGCTTTTCAGCAGTCGGGTAAGGCATGGATGAAATGACACTTTGCCTTTTTAAACTATGTTAACAAATGGCAACAACAACTAAGCACTGGTACACAGAATAGGAGAGATACTATTGAGTATTTTTCAAAAAAGTGCTAATTATTTCCCTTAATACTGGTGCATCTCTACTGTAGGCAATAAATGCTTCAGTTTTATTTCTTACTCCATTAGTGTCAATAAAGTTCCACCAGCTTTATGCTGAAGTAGCACTTTGGAGCGTTGATACACAATATGGTGATCCTTTTTGGCTAGAGACATCTTAAAGCTGTTTGACCAAGCTGTGTGCAAGAACAGAAAGCTAATAAATATTACAGTATACTTGTTAGTGACATTTTACAGAAGTTAATTCCCTAACTATGGGATACATGCTTCATATTGCTTCCAAAAGATATCAAGACTGCATGTGACTGTGTAGCAGCACATAAGAAGTAAGTGCTTAAACTGCAAATATGATCTGAATGAAGTCTCTTTCTTCCTTGTGCTGGACAGTACAGCATGTTCCTTAAACAGGAAGGCCATAGTAAGGAATGTAACCAACCTCTGGGAGTCCAAGAGTGGTGGAAGGAATGAGAAAAATATTTTGCTTAACCAGATTAGGTGCTTGGATGTAGAAGGAATATTATTTTAATTATCCTCACTCCAAAGGCTTGCTTGCTCTCACTTTGTCCAAACAAAGGGTGGTTCAACCTTCACCACCACAGAGTCCTAATTTTATTTCTAGACATCCCTCCAGAAGGCAACAGTGAGACAGCATCTCCCAGCTCTGCGCTGGGCCAGGCAGAGGCCAATTCTTGCCTCCGTCTGGCATGGTCCAGCCCTGAAGAGCAGAGGTTTGCCCTGCCCCACAGCCACTGCTCACAAAATGTAGGCATGATCCACACTGAGCACTCTGGACTAAATGCCAGAGCTGTTATTTGGCAGAAAATGAAGGAGATCTGCAGGGCTGTGCAAACACAGGTATCTCCCATACAAGCAGAGTACAAATGGAAAGGGTGTATGGCTAAATTTATTTTTTTCCTGGACGCAGAGCGAAAGGCAAATGATGTCAATAGAACCTTGGGCCCAAGGAACAGGCAATGTCCTTGTGTTATATGGCAACCTGTTCTGCTGAGGAGGCAGTTAAAACAAACAAACAAACAGAAGAGCAGTTGAAGAGCATTTTACACGTTTTTGGTCTGTACATAAGACACAAGGAGGCACTAAGAAAACCATTAGGAAAGTTCTATTGCTAACATCTAGCACCTCTACCAAGAAGCTAGCCTTCTACTAGCAGGATTACAGTAGAAATCAAAAGTGATTGTGTTCACATTCCCTGGACTGTGGAACCAATCATCCCAGGGAGCAAGGTGATACAGAAACTACGCTACGCACAGGCACTACAGAAGTTGTCATTTTGTCATGTTTGTTCTCTCTGGAGGATCTGAACTCTTCTGCCTTCAGGACACCAGCACTGCCCAGTTGCTGTCTTCTCTTCCATACTGAAACAAAGCAAAAATGGACCGTAACAATAAAACTTAAAAGTAATGGTGCACAAATCATTATCATAACTTCTTAGGTCTGCCCTCAGTAAGATTCACATCCACACCACCCTGGTAATAGTGTGCATTACTTTTTATGCCTTTATTTATGTCTTGGTTTCTAGCAGAGCCTAAAGGCAGCTTCAAGATTTATCTATCTTCTGATGAGTAGATACCGATTCTCCTTGGAGATGACACAGATTAGTCCTGCTTTGCTGGATCTTTCCATCAGTTTAATATGGTTATTCCCTGTGGTCAGTTCACTAATGAATTTACAAGTATGCCCCTGCTCAAACTCCAATAAACACACGCATTTGCTTTCCTTTATTTTCAAGGTGGTCTTTTATTACAACATTTTGATTGAATACAAAATAAAACCAATTGCAAATACCACAGAGTACAATTAGAGAAAATTGCAATCCAAATAAAAGCCTTCTTTCCATACACAAGCCAACAGTATTCGCAGTCAGAATGGAAAGGACCTACCACATGGAGCTGTATCCCTTCCAGGGCAGGATCCAGTCCCACGACAGCACTTTTGACTCTTAAACTGACCCCATGTTCTAAAGCTCTTTGTCACCAGCCCTGTAAACAATGCTCCAGGGAGCCCCAAAAATGTACATATGGCTCAAGTATGTAAAGAGAGTAGGGATGGCCAGAGAAGAGCAGATGTAAGTTGGGGCCCTACCCCTTATGAGTACCATGTTTAGGGAACTTGAGAAAAACTCTTCAGCAAGGAATAAAGAACAGTTTTTAGAGGTCTCACGTAGGCTGAAAAGATCAGTTGATAATGATCTCTCTAGAGAGGAGAAAAGGAAATTCTTGTCCAAGATCTGCATCAGCAGAGAAAGAGATAAAGGGACAGGAAAGCAGGGAAAGGACAACACATCCAAATTAGGATGAGTCAGAAAAAAAACTTGTTTCTGGAATTACAAAAGAAGAAAGTTCAATTTGCCTGTGCTTGTGCTAGTGTTTGAAAACACAGCACTTACTTAAAACTCAGAACAGGAAACACAAAATGCAGAACTGAAAACTGACATAACAACCCAAAACTTCAGAAATTTGAAGGGCTGGACTGAGTTGTCATTTGACTACTGTTTGAATTACTTCCAGAACTAAATGGGGACCAAAAATGTTATACCAGTATCAAGATAAAGTCATTTTTAAAATAAAAGCAGATCTATGTCTTTGACATAGACTTTAGGACCTTACACTAGTCAACCTATTTTTTTCCTCCTACAGGTCCTGTTTTATAAAATTTAACACATCTTTTCTCCTCCTCTGGCTATTTTACACTGGCTTGCCCATTTAGATTGTGTGACTTTGAGAAAGGTATGGCTTCTGACTAAATATCTGCTTAGTGCATCTTGTCTTGACTGTTCAAATATATTTTATATCTTAAACAATACATTTTACCTTTGATCCATCCCTTCCAAGTTGCATGCATGCTGACCTACACTTTAAAGGGTACAGCAAAAACTTCTTTATTCTCAACATCCAGAATGCAAACTACAAAAACATCTGATCGGTATTTCAGAGAGTGTATTCCCAGAGAAAGGAATCTCATCTCTAGCTCTTCCAACTCAAGCAGTTATAGAAGATAGTGTTCTGTGAGCAGTTCATTCACCAGCACACCATCACTGTACACAACATTAATTATTTCATCAAATATCTTTATCAGCCTTTAATGATCATGATTTCCACTCAGTGATAGGATGAGAAATCTATATTGTAGTACTACTACTGTTTCTCTCAATGGCCATGAGAAATGGAATCAGTTCTGCTCACAAGTTTCTAATTTGTCACTCCAGCTCTAGTTCCCTCTGAACAGCTGTTCAAAACTAGAGAAATCCTGTTGAACACAGAAAACTTGCAAAAACAACAACAACAAAAAAACGAGGAACAGGAAAACAGACTTGGAAACACAATAATCAGGAAAATTTGAAAATGTTGAACAAGCATGTATTGAACAAAAGGGAATCAGCATAATGTAACTGGATATGGAGCCCTGCACCTCTCCACCACAGGTTCAAATGAAGGACAAAGTGTGGATACTGAAAGTTATTGTTGTCTATAAATGTCCATTATTGAAAATGAAATGGATGTCAAACAAAAGCATATTGAAAATATCAAACATCCATTACTGAACAGAAAATGCTTTCATTCAGGCAATATCACATCAGAAAGATCAAGCTGCATTTGGCTATAATAGTATAGTATTTTATTCTTAAGAATATTTTGGTGTAGCAGTCTCAGGCAATCCAAACAATATGACAGTATTCCAATGATAATGCGAAGAGATCTTTTGTCCTCCTGGTAGAATACAAAAGATCATTGTGAAAGATCCTGAAAACTCCTTTGACATTTTATGTTATTACATATTCCCTTGTATATTATTGCATTGTTTTCTGTTGCAGAAATGCATCCTGTAGCCATTGACTGACTCTTAAGTGAACAGTTCAAGCTTTCCTGGCTTTTTTAAAGCAGGGAGAAACTGCAGAAAGTAAATACGCAGGTAACATTCCAGCTCTTTTATGAGTGCTGATTTTATTATTGGTGTGCAACTAATAAGTACATGCTAAGTACATTCAATTCTGTATGCACAGCTGTAGGGCAAAGAGACCCAAGGAAAATAATGCAGCCTCATCCTTAGCTCTTTTTTTTCCAGGGAAGGAGATTGGATGAACTTGTCTTGACAGATCATTAGGTAAGCCTAAAGAATAAATAGCCATATACCACTGTTGTCATCCAAAACGAAACTACTGCAAACGAATAAGCCATTCTTCTAGAGAAGAGAACATTCTTCTAGAGAAGGTGCTCATCAAGTGAGACAAACTGCTAAAGCAGTGCCTACATCCTCACACTCAGTGCTCAACAAGAAGGAACTAGAATTGGCCTCAGATCTTTCTGCTGCTGCACTATTTTATGACCATAATTGAAGAAGTCATCTATAATTGAAGAAACTCACCATAAACTGCTAAAAGCACATAAAGTGTCACCTAGGCATCAGAAAGTAACGCAGGAGTTGGTTACACTCATACTTTTAGACACCAAATACAGATGCTCGACACACTAAGAAGATGGCTTTAAAATGGAGCAAAAAGTTAAAGAGAGAAAGTTGGCAAGATCTTATGAGGCATTCTGTGTAATTATTAGCATGTATCACAATGAAAACTCTATTTGCACTTTATACACTGTTCTGAAACAAAACTGGTCGTGGTATAACAAGAAAAATGAAGTGATCCACACATTAATTCTAGATGGATGCATAAACTACTTGGGATGAAAAAAATGAAATGATTTGGCAGTATATGGTGGTATTCTGTAGAAATGCAATTATGTATTTGAAGAAAGGCAAGAGGATGCAGATGCTAAATATAAAACACCTGTGAACAAAGAAGCTGAAACTACAGTCTCACTACAACAAATAAACAAAATACAGAACTCCAGATGCCTACACTTCTTTTCAGTTATCAGTCCTGCTACTTGAAGGGAAAGACCCAGATCCTGAACAGCTATAGCTGGCACAGCTGTGACCCCAGAAGTGTGGCATGAGGAATGGAATATCCTGCTTTGCCCCTCTGAAAGTTGGCTAGTCACCAACACAACAGTAACAGAATATCAGGACTTCTTTCCTCCCTGTGTTGCCACCAGTAACGCCCAGTGTTATTCCAAGGAACAAGAGACAGTTTTCCCACATCATCTTTTTACTGAAGAACAATCAAGTGGCCTTGCTGGCAGTGGTTGTGGCCAAGGCCAGCTGGAAATCGGGAAATATGTAGAAAAGAGAATTCAGAAGGACCACTGGAATGACATGAAATGCTTCACTTGCCCTTGTCCAAGACCGGTGCATACTGTTTGAATTGAGCACTAAAGAATTAATCCATTGCCATTCATTGCACTTTCATTAGGACCACAATATAGCAGAACTCATTGCATAAATAATAATGCAATCTCACATAACAGAAACCAGCTTCCTCATTGTGGTGTTCTAGGTGGCTCAGTAAAGGATAATGGATTGCAATTCATGGGAGGTTTTTGATTGGAGTCTCAGTTCAAGAATTCTGTGTCAGATTTTTACCCTAGACAAGTGAAGGGCCACGTAAAATAGTAGAAAAATACAACTTTAAGACCCTTTCTTAAAAAGATCTGACTGCTTTAAGGGATTCATACAGTTACCATGTGCTGCAGATCATTTCACAATGCTTTAATAAGTTTCATATGGACTTAGCAGCCAGAAGAAATTTGCTGCTTAAAATTTTAGCAGCAAATCTAATAAGCTCCTTCAGTCAAAAGCCATTTATGTAGAGCATTGAACTAGCAGACTTGCTTTGCAGAAATCATGATGAAAATGCCAAACAGCTACTGCTATCAGATCTTAAATAAAGGGGTTTCAATTTGTCAAGACCTGCTCCTATCCTCATATCCCCAACAACATCTGCTACAAAAGGCAGAGAAGAGAGGCAACTAAAGTGAAGAGGACCATTACGCTGAGCTCATTGATGGTATCGAAATGGTACTGATCCTAAGCCCACATTGGGAGGTCACACATAGATTCCAAATAGACTTTGATATTCAGCAAACCTCAGAGGAAGGAACTGATTCAAGAACATGAAATGACCATGGAATTGGAAAGGTACTGAGAAACAAAGACAGTGGTAGGCTGGCTGTTTCCAGCCTGTGCCTTCTGCTTCACACACCTGTTTATTGATGAGCTAAATTCATTTGTAATTTTGGTTATTCAGAGGCTTCATCTATTTTTTTTCTTTAAAAATGAATTTGCAACGTTGATTCAGTTTGCAAGACAGACAGGGAAAAAAAACAATATTTACCCTCCCACCATGTCATACATGCTTGAGGTATGGAAATAGCTACACTGAACACAAATACCTATATTACTCTGTCTACAGCATCATTAACAAAAAAGATTTTTTCAGTATTCTCAAATTTTCACCTTTTATTATTTCATTTTGTTAAAGAAGAGGAACTCTCTTACCTGGATATCACTCAACTTATTCAGGAAACGGGTTGCCAGGTCAGGTCCATTCTCCATAGTTGGAATGTGTAAATGCTAACATTGTGTTGAGGGTGAAGATGGAGAGGAAGGAGAGGATAACATATAAATGAAATAATAGTTTCATGCACATATGAATACTTCAGCATCACCAAGCATTTTAATAAACATTTAATAAATACTAATCAAGCCTTCTGAGCCCTCATCACATGCAGGCAAGGATTGCTGTAAAACCTTTTTTCATAGGAGCACACACTAAGTCAGTGAAAAGTTAGATCAGTTGTATTATGCTGTTTTAATGAAGTGCTAATTCAAGCTCTTTCCAAAACACTTGTCCAAATCAGAGAGTAAATAATAGAGATAAGAGCATATCTCTAGCACACACTATTCCATTTCAGAGTACACTGTTTACAAGTACACTATCAATACTCAGCACCTTGATTTCTCTCATATAACCCTAGTACATGATACCATCAAAACATTTATTCAACCTAATTAATTCAAGAAGCATCACCCTCCATGCATTTATTGTGCTTGTCGCATTTAATGAACTTCCATATAACCAGCCTTTTGAATTAACTGTGTGCTGAGTGAAAAGCATCAAGTCAGCTTGACAGGCTGAAGAAATGTCCTGTGGAATTCCACCTCTGCAGAAGAAATCTCCCAAACAAGTGCAGAGCAGGTGGAAGCAGCAATGCAACCTCCTGAAACTGCTCTTCCATTAGAGTTGGGTTCCCTGCAATGAGGGGCCAAGAAAAAGAAGTACAGTAGTAGAGGGAAAGAATGCAGCAGCTCAGAAATCTCTCCTCATCTATCTCATAAGACTTACATTTTTGAAAAAAATGTTTCAATAAAATAAATAAATACATTCTCCGCACTATTTCTTTTTTTTCCAAAACAGACATGAGGCTAGTATTTTTATTTTGATCCAGCTGCAATTAATTTTAAGAATTTTCCAGAAAAAATAAAAGGAAAAAGAAAAAGAAAGATTTTCCTACCTTGCCTTTATATAGTATCTTAGAGATGGGACATACGACACAAGCTGTTCCAGCACCAAACATCTCCTTCACTCTGTTCTCTTCCAAGGCAGTTGTCAGGTCACTCATGGTAATGTATCGCTCAGATACTTTGAATTCCCCCTGCCCAAAATGAATCAAGTATACAAATTTTAAAAAGTATAAAAATTGCTGGGGTTTGTTTTACGCAGCTTAAACATCTCTAATGGAACTATACAGTATTCCTAATTAGTCCAGCTGCAAGCAGCCAAATTTTGGCTATAATCTTTTCAAATCTCACAGTAACATGAAAAATAGACTCTAATCAAAAGAATGACCTTCCAGAAAATCTAAGTTTTGTTAGAGAGAGTACTGACGACTGACTATGTGGCAATCTCTTCCCTGTTTTGTTATTGAGCCTCAATACTGTATTAGAGAATAACACAGCAGACTTTATTATGGGTTATGTGTCAGAGAATCTGACCACTTCACTATCATGCTGAAGTTTCTAGAAAAATGACTGGGTTTCGTACAAGAGCACTTTACATCCAACACCCCTGGGCAATTCCTAGGCAAAAGGCATTCTGCTAATTCCACCTGCAATGCCAACTAGATGCTGTGCATTTCTTTATTCCCTCATGAAATCTCACACTACAGCCTGCGTGCAGCTGTTGCATACAAAAATTAACTGTACCTAAGGTGCAAGTAAAGCGACTCACACTGAACACAGTCATGGCAAAAAGAAAAAAGGGGGGCAGATTTTACCTTCTGTATGTGTGCATAGCAGCTGACTGAAGGGAAATATTCAAAGAACAAATATAAACATTAAACTTAGAAATGTTCATTACACAGATTTATGTGGATTTCATTGCCCTAGCAGACCAAACTAAAGCTTAGCCCTGTATTATAAACAAGCTTTTTGCTATGCAAGAGAGCAGAAAACATGGTTAGTTCTGGACAGGATAGCATTTGGAGAGACAGGCAGAAACAATGAGCAAGCAAGTTTTGTATAAATAAGGGGATGAAGGTAAAAGAGAATAAACTTTGTTATTTTATTCAAAAAGACTGAGGTGAGAGACTGGTATCGCACTAACAAATCTTAACAATTGGGATTGTTTCCCTTTCTTGTAAAGCAGAAATGACTGAAGTGGCCGTTCATACCTGCACTCATTTTAATCTAGGAAAGAGTACTAACACGAGTAATCATGCGGAGTTTAGTACAGGTCAGCAAGTGTCCTACGTGCCCACTAAACCTCATGCATAGCTCTCTTCACTACCAGTTAGGTACAAGTGATATAAATGTGAACTTCAGGAAGTCTTTCAGCTTCCTGAGGTAGTGTGAGGCTGAGTGAACACCAGGGGAAAGAGCATGTATGCCTGCCCTGCTCCTTCCCCTATGTATCACCCTGGTCAAAAGCTGAAGAGAGGATTCTGGTCTGGTATCTGGTATTCTTGTCACAGCTGAAATTACGTCTTGGAATGCTGGGCAGAGAGAGTGAACAGTTTCCAGCATTTCAGGATCTGAGGCAGACCTTCCAAGGGCCCAGGTAAGTGCTTGGATGAGACATTACAGAATGGGAATCTGCATGCAGACACAAGACTTTAAGATGCTGTCTGTATTTTAGGCTTCATGGTAGTTGTTACGATTAAGGATGGAACCGTGAGAACTGAGTGCAGAAACAGGAAAATGATGACTAAAGTATAGCTGTGGTCATGCATGGTAATTGTTTGTTTCCTTGCTTTATGTTGTTGGTACCACTGGAAGATAGAATTTAAGAACCCCAATTCGATGAGAATTCTCTACTTAAACAAGCTTGGTATTGTTCTGGGCGACAGGTGCGGATGTTCTGATGACGTTGCTGAGTATCTAGGAATTAGTCCCTTAGTTCCCATTTAGTTGAAGGGATTTTTCCAGATCGGTTGAACTTCAGGACACTGAACAGTGGAAATGACCTACTTTCACAGATGTTTAAAACAGTCGTTATCAAAGTCAAGACACTCACCCAGTTGCAGGCCAGGTCCAAAATGCTTTGTCTTGTCACTCCTGGGAGTATGATGCCATCTAAAGGTGGGGTTGCCAGTTCATCTTCTGTCAAATGGAAGATAAATAAAAGCATAGATTAATAGCAACAACAAAAAACTAACAGGAAAATGGAGAAGTTAAATGATATCAGAAATGTTCCCTACTATGAGAGGCAACACTTGTCAGAGTTCTGCAAAATTGTACAAATTCGGTTCCAATAAGATTTTGAGTATTCAGAACATTTTGAGTACACCAGAATGGACAACATTTAATATATTAATAAATACACAGTTCAAACCTAGTAGTGAGTTTTATTCCCAAGTGTATTATAGATTCACTGACAAAACTATCAGAAGAAGAGAAGTTAAAAACTCCCTACGAGCCACAGGTCCCACCTGGTTCTGAACGCTGAAAACCTGGTGTTCTGCATTTGCTAACTTTGGACCCCTCAGTCACATATGAGTGTTCCCCTTCTTTTAGCAGAAAACTTGAAATAATGCAGGTTTTAATACCAAAGCTTGTGGCAACACACTGGATAACATTTTCTCTGGTGGTTTTGCCACAGATGTTGGCCAGGACCTGTTTAAGCTCAGCAACATATATTAACTGCTTCGAGCTATTCTGAAAAGGTGCCAGGCCAGAGCAGCTGCCAAACAGCACTAGAATTTTGTCACATACACGCATGATGCCTACCAGCCTGGGGCCACCTAAGGAACATCTGCTCTCCCTAGTATCCGCAGAGATGATAACGCTTCCCAAGCCAGAAAGCTCATTCCCTCTGTGCATGGATACTACATGGCTCCGTATGACACCACTGTGACCATCTCCAGGAAAGCAGACTGACAGCTCACAGGCTCCATTGGCCTTCTGAGCTGTTTTGATGGGCTAGGAGCCTTAGATTTATAGCAGCAAAGGACAGGGCAAAGTATTTGAAATAGATTTTCAGAATTCTCTTCATTTGATTCCTTGTTATTATTTGTTAAGGCCCCCTCAATCCACTGCCCTAGGGCACTAAGCACTAAAGAGGTAAGTCCTAACAACCAGATGTGAGGGACTTTAAGAGGATTATTAAAAGGAGGGTTTGCAATCTACTAAGACCCTATTTTTGCACATCTCTACTTATGAACACATGGCAGATCATATTTCACCTACGGGATAACTTCAGTACTAGTCACATTATAACAATGCTGAGAAATTCACCAAAATACATTTTACCAAAATGATAACAGACATAAGTAAATTTCAGGATCAAGGACAGCCCAGGAAACCCTTATTTCAGCACTATGAATATCTAATCCTCTCTCGCAGATTGTTCCGCTCCTTTTTATTTCTTTTTTCTCCTTTCTTCCCACCTTTCCCTCATGCAATCACTCTCAGTCTTGCCTCTCTTCCAGCTTACTTTCTTCAGTTAGTTTTCCCTCCTTTCCCTCATTTGTCTCTTCATTCATTTGCTGCTCTCCCCTCCATGCTCTTCCTTTCTACCAGTTTCTATTAAAATCATTATTTTACTTATAGTTTACCTGTACAACATGCTCCTATACCACAAATTCACCTCCAGAACATTTTGCATTCTGGTATTTACCTGAGAGGAGTTTTTCAAGTACTCAAGCTGTTTGGAAGCAGGCACCATTAATTCCCCTTTTAATAAGGGCATGAAAATATTAAATAATGCCCAAAGGCTATTCAAAATGCTGTAACCGTAAAGCAAGAAGTAGAGCCCAGATGGTTACAAATCATTCTCAAGGCATTGAATTTTTGGAAAATACACACAGATTTCATAGTTCACAACTTTCAGGTTGGCCATATGTTTAAAATTTAAGGCTTTCCTCAAAGTCAAGCCTATATTCTAGGCAGAAGAACAGACATTATTAAAGGAAACAAGAGTTTCAATGTTAACAGCCTCTTGATTGTTATGCGCTCTGAAGAGGCAGGTGGAGGGAAATTTAGGGTGATAAATTTTTTCACTTTGCGAACATAAACCATTCCTACCATTTGTCACTCTCCAGATTTGCACTATTGAAAATAGCACTTCATGAATGAAATATCACCCTTGCTTATTTACGCAACAGCAGTGATCCAGATTTGGCCATATCATAATTCTCGGCCAGAGATCGTCAGCAGAAATACAAGCCCTGCACACAGCATGTCATATTAGTTTACCAGAGATTGAGTAGTTTCCTCCACAACTTGCTCCCCAGTGCTAGAAACAAGTTATTTTTCCAGGTTCCTTTGGCTGCTGAAGGCAAAACATGACATGTTTAGTCGCGATGCTGCAGCTGAAAACGTACAGGCTTGCAGGTGAAATGTGCTGTTGTTGGAAGCATGGGGGTCCATTAGTCCAGACTTCCCTGACCTGTGTCTCTGGTTTGTTGTAAACCGAGTGGAGCTTGTTTAGAGAGTGCAACACAGAGACCTCTGAACACACAAAGGACATTTTCCATTTTATGATCTGCAATTTCTGCCACACTGTTTTTAGATAGTTAGATCACCCTCAGCTGCAGCATTTCCATAACAAAACAAATCAAAAGCCCAGCCTAAGTAAGTATCTTTCATGCAGTCGCAGAACGTGATGGCAAGCACTTCCTAAATTCTATCGTGAAGCCACAGGCACCTACCTATGTGCTGGCACATGTGTAACCCTCCTGGTAGCAAGAGTGATTCTTAACCAAAGGGACCACAAATGAAGTGTTAACCAGTACACTGGAGATAACAAAGTGCTCCAGTGATGCTAATGACCACGCCGTGTGAAATGGCAGGTCTGCCAGTGTACAGGAGCTTGGGTGGCATGAATTGCAAGTTGTTTGCCACAGCCCCCTGACAACAGTGCTATTCACTGGTGCATGGGTAACCCGGTGATTGGCAGATCTTTGGAACAGAGTGGTGCTGCAGCTGGATAATTCCAGCATATTCCTGGTTTAAGTACAATGAGAACATTGAATTTGAATCATGTCCCTGCTTCAATATCCTTTCCTTGGGCAAAATGAGCCAAAATTTATTTTCACATCTCTCTGGCGAAGTTATGCAAGGGGTAGATTTGGCCATCTAGCCATCCTCACAAATCCACTGCTACTGTAAAAACAATAACATTTTTCATATTTATAGTTTCATTCATGGGACTTCAAAGACTCCTTCAGTACTAAAGAGTTATCATCTCTATTTTACAGAAGCAGTAAAGATTTCACATAAAAACAAGAAATGCAACTGGAAATGGGAGTCAGGTATCTGGACTCACATTGCTGTGCCCTGAACATAAACACAGCCGAAGCACACTGCTGTCCTCACCGAATGCTGCCGCTGTACCGCAGCTGTCAGAACGCAGTCAGAAACATGCCAGCTTTCAAGAGTACCTATGGCACTACGATTAAATAATCAATCTGAACTCTGCATCCTCTGCCATGCGAAAGTCCAACAGCCTTTAATTTTCACAGAGTGCTGTGTGTGGGCTAGTACTCATGTAGGTCAGGAGACATCCTTCCATGACTTCCACATACATCGGCTCAATCCTGTAAGTAGGCAAACCCGTGCACTCTTCTGAATCACTACTTATGTACAACTACCAGTTCTAACTGAATATTTGCAGGCTCACAGGATGTTTTTGAGATGCTTACCTAGCTGGCAGCTCATTAACTAGACAGTTTTCTATGCAATGTATATATTGAGCATCGTGTCAGCATAAGCAACGTGGAAAGCTGACCAATGTGTTCTCTCCCTCCACTGGATAGGACTTCAAACTCTCCAAAGAAAGAGCCGACTGCTTCATCAGTTGGATGCTGAAATACTTTGGTCACGTTTCAGGAACATATGGCCTGCTGGAAAGTGATGATGGGAAGCACCCAAGCTCAAAGGCACGGAGTGTGAAGTTACACAGCATAAGGCGCCTCTAGGACGTCTGTACTGTTCTGACTCAGTGCCTCCTTCGAAATCAAGCGTGCTGCCAGAGTTGACAGCAAACATACAGTGTGAGCCCTTCTACGGCCGGACCCTACCAGCCTGAGCATGTGGACTGGCCCTGCGGATCAGCTCGTTACTGGCAGGCAGCGCTCACAGCTGCTCCACTCCCTCCTCTTTCAGGATGCCATGACAAATAGTCACCTATTAGTTATTAGAAAAGATTAGGCTTTCCCTTGGTTAAGTAGCTGCCAGTGGAGTTTGTGATCGGCACCCTAATAATCATTTTATGGATTATGAGAACAAGTACCTATGGATTATATGACACTAACATGAAAAGGAAAAGCAATCATCCTAGTTGTCATTCTTCGCACCAGACTGTAGCTTCTAGAAGCCTTGTCTGTAAAATGTGAACGTAAAACGCTTTGTTGTCCCAACTGGGCATTCTGTTAGAGTATTCATGTTTTGAGTTACTATACCTCCATCTTCATTTATCCAGTAGAGAAACAGATTCATTGTTCCAACTTCAGTTATTTGATGATCTTCTCCATACAGCCACAAAACCTGCTGGCAACCTAATTCCAGGGCTTCTCGCTGCGCATAAATAGAAGAACCATAATTCCTTCCAGAAACAAAAACAAAAAGCAAACAGATATGAGTAGCTGGCAGGATATTTTCTTTCCATTACACATTTTCATTTTCTCATTTCTGTGTAAGACTCAGTGCACAAATGCACCTCTGCTTTATGGGCAAGTGCTCTGCACAATCACTGCTTATTCCTGAGATACTGTGATTGTATTTTACTAGACCATTTTGTATCTACTATCCTGTAATTCTGACAGCTCAACACATCCATCCAGACAGTCTTAAAAATACCTCCTGTCCCATTCTGTGCAGGTTCTAACTATTGCAATTGGACACTTAAGGAAAACTTTTTTTAAAAGTATATTTAAATCCTGGAGATCCTGGAGAGTGTGCATCAATCCTCATCCATCCACGGCTTTAAAAAACCAAAGCAAAGGCATCAACCTCATGTTATATGTTAGATGAACAAATGGGTAGTTTGACCTTTTGGAATACAAAATTACCAGAGATAAGCCACTTCTTTTCTAGTAGGTGACATTCACGGAGCTAGTAGCTCTCCAGTTGCATACGGACCTCAATGAACTCCATATCTTTGAGTAGCAACTATTTTCTTAAAATGCTGCCTAAAGGGTGATTACAACTAAATAACATGTTTACCCTGTAGCCTCTCTGGGGGAAAAAGAAAAAGGTCCTCCTGCTCCTGATGTTCAGCAACCATCAAATTCCTAAATCAGTACATCCATTGCTGACCACTCTGTTATTAAGTTCTCACTTCTGGTCCACAAATAAAGTTTGTAATGACCCCAGTTCTCTTCTCTCTGTGTTTTCTTCACAGCTGAAGCATGAAGCATGCAGAGGAAACAACTGCTGTATTTGTAAAACTAAACAATCACACAAGCCAAATGTAATAGCCTCAAAACACCAGATTCAGTGAAGGAAAGGTGGATTTTTTTGTTCCAATTTGTTATTCTACTGGCTTGGCTGTGCAGCACCTGACAACCTGCTAACTTCGTGCCTACAAAATAAACTCTTAGGTAGAAGCTTTGTTTAAACCACAGGCTAGATATGTGCAATCTACTTACTCGGCCATACCAAAGCTGCTTGTTCCATTCAAATCCTAAGCAGCTCCATTCTGACAACACCTCAAGCATTTGGACACTAGCAATTGCGTTTCTACCTAACCAAGACCTCTGCCTCATTAAGGAGGATACTAACAGGTCATGGTCAAGTCCATGCAGGTAACTGCCTAATGCTGCACTGCCCAGCTGCAGCAGGCCCCTGCAGAGAATGCTGCATCTCAGAGTGAAGTGCTACCACCTACAGTGTCAGCTTCTGCAAGGGGAAAGGATGAAGTGTCAGACAGAAACTGCCCAGGTCCAGCTCCCTGGCTTGAGGCACTGCAGAATTCTCTCTCCAAAGAGCTCACTTGGCAGTGATCTCCAAACAGAGAGAGGCATCTGAAATGTATACGCACTGACAAAGTGCAATTTTGAAATCTTTGTTGTAGCACTCCATTGTTTGCCCAACTGCTACATGTGATACCTTTACATCTGTTGCTGGATTACATACTTCACTAAAGAAGAAGAAGAAGGAAAAAAAAAAAAAAAGGAGTCTCATTAGTGAGCTCCATAGAAAATGCAGAATCAGGTTTTCTTACCCTCCCAGTTTGCAGTCTCCTGTTCCTCCTTTCCAGGCTCTTACATATTTTGGATCAGCCCATAAGGATATGGGATTAAAACTTCCACTTGCAAAGTAAGGGCCCACAGGACTCAGTATGACATAGAGTAGGGCTTTAGTTGGCTTCTTTACTCCAAGAGAAGGCTGAACAGAAGGAATAAAAACAAAGGTTACTGGTGTACTTCACTCCAAACACCAGATGCTGCACAAATAGCTTCTGAAAAAAAAAAAAGAGTTTTCAGAGGAACTTGCAGCAGTAGAGGAGTGCTTTTACAGACAAGGTAAAGCGACGCAAAGAATGGGAAATATTTATATACCCCTTTTCCCTCTGTTGACCAAGGCACAGAGAAACTATAATTTTAAATTTGGTTCATTCATCTGTGTATTATTTTAGCCTTCTCAAATAATTTCAGAATTTAGCTCATAGACACACTAGATATGAAATCTAACTATATTAATTACAGCAAAAGTCTGCAAAGCTCTTTTTTTCTTTTTTTTTCTTATGCAAGGACCACCACTAGCAGTAGCAATGTTGAGGAACTCAGCTCTACTAGAGGTTAGGTTATGTCAGCTCTACGAGAGATTAGAAGAGGCCACATGTCATTCGGAAATGATCTGTCTATTGGAAATTACTGTCACATATGACAGCATAGGAAATAAGCCTGAACGTATTGCTGTTTTCCTCTTGTCTTTGAGAGATAGCTCCTCTTACTTCAAGTCATCAAGTCATCACAAGCAACACGTGAAGCAGGAGGTGAAGTTTGCCGCTGCTCAAAGGCTGAATTCTGGATAAGAGTCTCGGCTTATCTATATGATTCTTAGCAAAGTTCTAGAGTGATGAATTATCTAAAACAACTGGTTGCCAGGAGGCAGCTTTTATAACGAGACTTGGTGACAGCTGGAATCCTGTGCAATGCTGCTGGGATCATGCAAACGTAGGCAGCTGGATGCCACAAAGAGCAGAGTTTACCCCTCAGTTTCTCTGCATATAAGCAGTTTCTCAGTGCAGCACATCAATTTGTGTGTTCTCTGCTTAAACACAACAGATCAGTGGAGAGGCAAAGGACAAGGGCTCCTTCTCCTGTGGAAGCATGCATGCTGTGTTTTAGGTCACACGTCCTCTTAGTGATTTCTGGTTTTCTAACCAGATGACAGACAGCCTCTGAGAGCTAATGCAGCTCCCAGGAGAGAGCTTGAAAGACTTTACTAAACTGAGGTTTCTGACTAATGTGTTGACTATTTTTTTCCTAATAACCACCAGCTTTTTCACCCATGTTGAAAAATTTCTGCAAAGCTGAATGAAACCTGTCTCTCTGGAGATCACTGAAACTTCACTCTTATTTGTGAAGAGCCTGTTTTTGTGTCATTTAATATCTTCGAGCTTTTCTGTGAAAAAGCATGGTCTTGGCCATTATTACTAGTTCAAATGAGCCCATGAGGCTGCAGTTTCCCAGCTGCCACTATGCTACGTGAAGGGGAAATAATGACAGCTTGAATTGCGCTTAATCAGGAGCAACATTTCTCAGAAATCACTGCATCATTTGAAGCACTACGTTCCCACAGAAGGACTAAAATAAGAGGAAGAAATCATATGAGGAATAGTCACAAGCTCTCAGCACTACAAATCTTTTTCTTTCACAGTTTGAAGAGTAAGAGAAATAAACAGTCCAAAAAAAGTATCCTAAGACTGGATCCTGCTTGGTTGTTAAAACACTCTTTTGTTTAGGGTCAGTTCATTAGAAAGAATGTCTTATCCTTCAGATCTTATATGCAACTGCAAGGGATGCATAGTAGTCTTATATGCAACTATTTTCTCTCCTCTCAGAGAAACTAGTCACCTAAACAGAACAAGCTCATGGTTGCTATCTAAGGTTAGATTTTCACTAAGAAAAAAAAAATCATGTTAATACTTTGTGGATATCCTTTCACCTGAAAATCTGCAACTAATTTAAACACATTAAATTAATGAAGTCTTAGAATACATGTGAAATAAATGAATATTATGGTAAGCATTGATGGATATGGCTATTGCAAAAAAGTGATTTTGCTAGTTGGGAACCACACATTCCTTAGTCTTGTTGTTTTAATGCTCTGCCACTAAAACTTTCTCTCTCACCACTGCTCAAAAAAAGTTTTACTTAAAATTCCTATTCTAATTCACTTGGTAAATACCTTATGCTTGACTCATGCCCACATGCAAGACATGCTAGGAAGCCTCTATCAAGGTCTGCCCGCCGTCCCGAAGGCCGTGGCCAGGTCCCCGTCGCTGCCCAGCGGGACGAAGCTCTCGCCGCCGCGGCCGTCGCGGGACGCGAAGCTCACGGAGAAGCTCTTCCTGCGGCCGGGAACGGGGCCGGAAACCCCTTAGGGGCTGCATGGGGGTCCAGGGGGCCGGGAGAGGGGCCCAGGCGTCCGGGACAGGGGCCACAAACCCCCTTGGGGGCTGCATGGGGGACCCCAGAGTCCGGGAGAGGGACCATAAACCCCCTTAGGGGCTGCATGGGGGTCCAGGGGGCCAGAGGGGGCCCATAACCCCCCTTGGGGGCCGCATGGGAGACCCAGGGGCTTGGGGAGAGGGCCCAGGCGTCCGAGGAGGGGACCACAGACCCCCCGGGGGCTCCATAGGGGGCCCAGGGGTCCAGAAGGGGCCCATAAAGCCCCTTAGGGGCCGCATGGGGGACCCAGGGGGCCGGGAGAGGGACCATAAAGCCCCTTAGGGGTGCTATGGGGGGCCCAGGGGTCCGAGGGGGCCCATGAACCCCTTTGGGGGCTGCATGGGGGACCCAGGGGTCCAGGAAAGGGGCCCAGGGGTCCGAGGAGGCCCATAAACCCCTTTGGGGGCCACATGGGGGTCCAGGGGGCCGGGAGGGGGCCCAGGCATCCAGGGAGGGCCCATAAATCCGCCTTAGAGAATGCATAGGGGACCTAAGGGTCCGCGAAAGGGATCCAAGTGTCCAGGAAAGGGGCCCACATGTCTGGGTAGATCATATACCCCTTTGGGGGCTGCATAGGGGGTCCGGGAAAGGACCCAGGCGTCTGGGGAGGGGACCATAGGCCCCCTTAGGGGCTGCATGGGGGACCCCAGGCGTCCGGGAGAGGGCCCCAGCCACTCACAGCAATAGAGCAATTATTTCATCAATCTGCATGCAAAGACCTAAAAAGCAACGCTCCTCCCTCGGTAGCAGACTCTCTACATCAAAGGCAGCAGGAAGATTCTGCAAAAAGCAAAACTCTCTTAAGATTTAAAAGATGAAAAAGTTCAAGCTGTTTCCTTCACTGAGTAGGATCTCTGAGAAGATTTAACAAAATTCTTCAAGAGCTACAGTATTTGGTAAATGCTACGCTACAGTGCTGTTTCAGAGATTTACACTCCGAAAACGAAGATATTCTCCTTAGGTCGGGAGGGAGCTGTGCCTTGGCTACGTACCGGCAGAGTTGCTCGTCGTGCCGATCGCGCCATCCTCTCCATGTTGAGGCTCGGTCTGAAGAGGCGGATTTTGCCATCCACGCCGCGGTAGGCCTTCATTCCTTCAAACAGCTACCAGGCCAAAAAGTGAGGGGAAAGGGAGAAGAATGGGAAAACAAAGAGTAATTGAGGCAGGTTATCCCATGGCAACCTGTGTAAAAGTGTAACATGCCTTTTGGAAATAAAGGAACTTCCCTTTCCTACCTTCCCTTCCTATAACTTTTTCCTAGCACCAACGGTACTCAAAACATTAATGTTAACTAGTCAATCCCTGCAGCACACTCCTGTAAGGTGGTATTTTCATGTTTTTGTCATAAAGACGGCCTGTCTACACTTCAAAATACATCTTGTTCTGTCAAGGGACTTGCTGATAAGATTTTTTTCTCATAAGTTGATTACAACAATTAAAATTTGTAGCATGTGTTTGACTTAACTGTCGCCTCATATCCTGACGGATACTTAAAGCTGAGATGAAACAGTATTCTCCCTTATGAAAAAAGACCTGTGGATTTTAATTAAATATATTAATTACTCTAATGGCTCAATTATTTTAAGGTCTAAAACATATTTTGGTAGGAAGCATAGAATAAGGTATTAAGGGGAGGCTGTTGCAAGCAAATTCTTGACCATCTATTCTCCTATATGTCCCTATGATGGTGTAGAGAGCCTAGCTAGGATGCGAGAGCAGAGCCCCAGCCTAGAGTAGAGGAAGAACACATGAAAATGTTTTGCCTATACTTTACAGAAAGTCTAGACTAGTCATAATTATCTGATCTAACTGCAGAGACTGGGTGACTGGTGCTGCTGCGCAATTTACCAGAAAACCCTTTGGCCCCAGTGCCCTGCCAGCACTCCTAATCGCAGAAAAACTACATACACACACAAAATACCCATACTATTTTTCAGTTATAGATCGATAATTTCCACTTACAGATAAACATACATGTAGTGTATAAGTCAGTATTATATATACATATATTACTTGGATTAAGAACTAAAGAATTTTACTTATATCTATACACAGAGTTTAGAATTTTAAGATGTTTTTTCTAAAGTGTTTCACTGTACATTAAATTTCAGTATAAATTTCATAAATTTAGATGCATTGCTTCTGTCAGGCTCCACAGAAATCTTCTGTTTAAAAAGAATAGCCATAAATACATTCTGTGTGACTGGAAGACAACACACGTTAGTTTTTGATTAAGAAAGAGGAATCTATTTTTAAGTAATTTTATAAAACACTAAAGGTTTCATTATTATTAAATTCTACATTTTCCCATAATGATTAGTGAAATGCAAAGTCTAAAAAGCCTTCATACAGGTCCATGACGGAGTTAGGTCCTTCCACATGACAAATTTTAATTGAGTTGTAACTGGGTTGCAGGAATCTAGGCAATTTTCCTTAGGCTACATACCAGTTATGCAGCAGAACCAGAGTTAAAGCTCAGAACTTTTTGCCCTAAAATTGCTCTTACTTCTATGATAATGCCAACCTTATTAAAAGCTTTGTGCACAGTACTGAAAAAAAAAGTTCCCAAGATAGCTACATTGTAGCTACGAGAAAAAACAAAAAATAATAAGTGATGGCATAGCATATGATACAAATGATATTTTGATATGATTTCTATTGGGTCAGCTGCTGAGCAATATCGCATTTCTGTAAAGCTACTTGTTCTTCTCACAGAAAAGTTGTCCCCCCGCCCCTTCTCCCGACACATGTACAGAAGTGTTAATGAGAGGGAAGAGGAAGGAATGTTACTGCTAAGATTTGACCAATGGTTCAACAAAAGCAAGAATCATATCATTACTGAAACACAAAGCCTTCTCAAACCATTATTTTTTTTCTCCAAAAATACGTATTTTTAATGTCCAAGAGCTCAGTAAACCTTTCACTCTTTCAAGAGGGAGACAGTGATGTGTTCCAGAAATGCTCAACTTGTATAACAGCAACTGTTGTGGTTGCTTGATGGTTGGAGGCTACAGCGGTGCACAAACGATATTTTCTGACACTTACACATCACAGGAGCTGGATCTGGAGTTCAGCAGATCCAAGCTCTCACACTGCATCATGAAAGGCAAGGAAAAAGGGGAGGGAATGCCAAATTCATCATTTTTTTTATACCCACTGTGTATTCATTGAGCCACAGCATTGGCATCAGATTCTCCTCTGTCTGTCCTCTTGGCTAGAGGAAACGTGATGCAATAAGAGTAAAAGAATAAATAAATAAATAAATGGAAAAAATGAGAGAATGTTCATATTAGCAATGATCTCAGAGCAGGCCAGAGGTTGAGAACTAAAGCAATATGCTACTATGAGTGCAATACAGGTTTGGGACTCCAGCGTGGTTTCTTGCTCCTCGGGCAGATCAAGAGCTGCAGCCTTAGCCACAGGGGCCTGTTGCCATTTACACAGGTCCCTTGGAGTTTAGTGATGAGACGGGGCGGGGGAAAAATAGTGACAGCAAAAATGGTGCAGGCAAGAGCCCAGGAACAGCAGGTGGTAAAAAAAAAGAAAACTAAAAAATAAATAAATAAAAGAAGCACCAGCAGCTCTGCTGGAGTCAGAGGACTCCAAGCAGGACAGCACAGGCGTGAGCATCGCTGACGCCGCTTGGGGACACAAAGGACAGCTTTAGGCAGCAAGCAGCTAAGCACGGAAACGGTTAACCACGCTGGTTTCCGACTTAACATTCCACTTCCCAAAGTCCCATGCTGGATATTCCTGCTCTACTACCCTTGTCCATGCTGAATGCCTCCTATCATCTCCTTTGGAGCTCTCCAGACTTGTTTGGAGGTGCCAACAAGCACCTGCCTAGTCTGTCCTGCAATCCAAGCTATAAAACTCTAAACAGATTGGAATAAATTCCACAAAGTGCATGTTCAGTCCCCAAATTAAAACTATCCTTCGAGTCCCACACAGTCTTATCCAGAGCTTAATTAAGTTACATCTCTGACAGTAATTGGACAGATCCACTGTCAGTGAACTACAATGCTTTTCTAAACTCATGAAAAATGGGCTCTTCCTCACTGCCTATAAAGCAAAGTGTGCTGGAACCTACAGAGCAGAGCTGATTCTGATTACACCAACAGAAGCATAACTGTAAAAAGAGTCACTCTAGAATGACATCAGTTAGAAAAATGTAACTAATCCTAAAAAAGTTAAGGCAGTATCAGTCCTTATATAATGCGCCATACTTTTAAGAGCTAACGATACAAAATAAACAATTTCCAAGGCGGTTTAGTACTCACTTCTACAGCATAATGCAGAGCAGAGGAGGCTGGATGCAATGAGAGGTTCTCAAGGGGCTTAATATAAGGTTTCTCCCATCCTGAAGCCAGGGACCATTCAATTGTCAGCATATTATCAGTGAACACAGTCCCAAACACCAAACCAGTGGGGTCTGGTTTTTCCTTGAAAGTCGTTGCTGGAGTGATAATCAAGTCTGAAGCCTGAAGGAACATAAAGCCAAAAATGAAGTGTATAAATATAATTAATTCAGATTGAATTGATAATCAGTGAACATAGACAAATACAGTGTTTTATCTGCTGGGATACTTACTGGCAGACTGGTTAAAATTAGCTATGTCTAATTAGCAGGCAAAGTGTTTATCTTTCTGTGTAAGCACCTATACATGCAGTTTCTCAGAGCACAAGCATTTTGCATATTTTGAAATGCTGTTAAATAGGAGAAGTACAAGGCAAGAAAACAGCAAGTTAGCAGTTGAAAATTTCTAGGATATTTAGATTACAGTGAATGTTTACACCTGTATGAGTCCCATAAACTTCCAATTGCTATAACTCATAAACTGGTCAACATAAATTGATCATCAGCCAGGATAAGGAAGGAATTCCTCCCTCACAACTAAGTAGGTACGTTACACTGATTTTCATTTAACACATAAAACCAATGTGAGAGATCAGAACAAGTGGTCAGCACGTTACTTAGGTCACGTTAGCTTGTTCTTTCATGTTTGTATTTTCCTAGAAGGATCTTGATAGGACAAGGGAGGGTAAAAAAAATCATTCCTTAGATGACAAACTGTACCATGCAAAGGCGTTCTCTTGCAAGCCATAACTAACTGGCTGCAAAAAAGCACCATATGCTTTCATAGGTGAATCATGGTACAGAAGAGCGGGGGCAGGCAGGAGAGGTCCACTCTGGGCAGCATCTTCTTTCCTAACTGGAGTCAGGAGGCACTGCTTGTTACTGCGGGGAAAGTCTGGCTCTCCCACCTTGGGTATGCACAGCTTCGACTGCAATGCAGCTACTTTGCCCTTCCCACTTCAAACAATTTCCACATGCCTTAAAGAAGGAGATTCTGCAGGAGCTGTCACCAACTTTGATGCTTAATACTTGGCACACATTTTGCAGAAAATTCATCTCAAGATTTTCAAAATTTACAACCCCTCATCTCCATAAACAACCTGAATTTCAAGATGTCTTTAATGAACAGTGGTCTATTTTTTACTTTTTTTTTCTGCTTAATGGCTTAGATGTGAAATTAACTGAGAGCTGGAGCACATGAACAGCAGAAAGCTTGTTTTAAACAACCTCCAATTATAGGGCTTGTCGAGATACTCCAGTGCATTAGCCTGCTTGTGCTAATACATAAGCTGATGAAAATACAATTACTCTGCTTAACTCTTTAGAGCACCCATTCTGCTGTGAGCAGCAAGTGCTCCAGTGGGAAAAGCACTATTAATGATGTACTGAAAATAAAAATGAGTTTTACCTGACAGCCCCTTATGATGCCCTTTGAAAAACCACAGAACACAGAAGAGCAGGCATGGAAATAAAAGCCAGGAAACAGCTCTCGCAATTATCCCCACTCTACCACTTAGTGCGGGAGAACACTTAGGCAGGAGCAGGGTGCCAGTGGGCCTTGCAAGGATGCACAACAGGGTCATATGTTACCTCTGCACAGAGATGCTTGAATTAGAATTCTTATTGCCAGTGATATTACCAGCCCTCTTCGAAGCCAAGGCTGCTGTCTCACCTCAGGCCATTTTCATTAAGAGAACTATCTTTACAATAAAGCAGCTTGGACACCAGAAATCCCATAGAGCGTCTCACCCTGCACAGCTTCCGTCAACCCGCTCATTCCTGCCCATGTCAGCCACTTCCTTGGCTGTGGCAGCACAGCTGGTTCAAGGCCCGGTGAGAACTATGAGCACCAGAACTAGAGAACTGGAGTTCGGGCTGAGGCAGCTGGAGGCAGAGAGCCTAGACAAGGTAGCGGTGATGGTTTCCTGAAAGGAAACGGTGTTTCCTGAGCACAGAGCTTCCTGAAGCTGCGTGTTCTGAGCAAGGAGCCTCTCTGCAGTTTCTCACTTCCCTCTGCATGCAGGAAAATCAGCTTTTGGTCAAGGTGTTTGGAAAACACCTGACCTGACAACATCAGCTGCGATACCAGAACTCTTCCTTCAAATAACTCTAGGGATGTTCTGCAGCCTCAAATACTGGTTAAACTGTATAGACAGAGCAAGGGTCATTAAGCAGGCAAGAAGTTTTCCTGATCCCTGTAATTCTGACAAATCATGTTAAACTTGCATTTAAAACATGTTTTATTTGACCAATAGTGTTGCTCTTTTTCTTGAGTATCTTTCTCTTTGTTCATCCTACAGTTCTTCTCTCTGTCTTCACCAATCAGCAGGTGCAACAAGTTGATACCACCCACAATCTGCTGCATCTTTCAGAATCCCAACAAGCACCTCCTAAGGCAAAACACCATCAAGTGCTGCAACACCATCAATATTTTTGACAGGAGGCAGGGGGGTCTCGGAAAACCCCTTCTTTGCGTCCTTCCTCTCATGACGTGGTCTGCAGCACAAGATACTGTCCGCACCCTCAGCCTCTTCTACATCTCTGAGCGATGAGGCCCCCAGCAAAACCCTCTTCTCCACCCCCTACCCCCTGCCCTTGGCTTAACCTGCCCAGAAACTCTTGTTGTGCCACTCGGGCAATGCTGGGAAGGAGAGCAGGGAGACAGCAGGACCTGCAACAAGAGCGCGGAGCGAGGCCAGGTGACTAACACCAGAAGCACTCGTTACATATCAGTGCTTATTACTTCTAGCATCACTCACACTGAAAAATGATCATGGCAATGCTGTGCTGTCACCTATGACCTTTATAAATGGCAATCTCTGCCTTGTCTACATTGCTCCAATCCTGGAAGCAGCATTAAGGACACATTAGGGATTAGCATTAACACTGCTGTTCACACCGACAGTACAAAGGACAGTTTTCTATGAGGTTCGCCTGCTTTGTTTACGAACGCGCTCTCCAGCACTCTCTGCCACTGCTGCCTAATGAAGCCCTTCAACTGGAAACAGAACTGGGGAACAAAGGCCAAAAAGGGAAGTGAAGAAAGAACCACGCGTGGCACACAGCCTAAGTAATAACCAGATGCAGCGACTTGGCCCATGTTGCCCAAAGTAAAATAGCAAAGACTTTTGCCGTTCTGGCAAACTTTCCCATTCCGCAGCAGCACCGTACGTCCAAATGGATGTGCCTAAGGTCCAGCCCTGGGAATCCTTGCTAGAAAGAGGAAGAAACAGATTGCCCTGCCAGAGAGATGAATAAGAGGGATTGCCAGGGCATTTGATATCACTGCACCTGCAAGGAGCTCCTATCTCAACCACACACGCTTTCCAATAGCCCCAAATCTGAAAGGAGCCCTCGAGTTGCAGCACCACTTCTTCCACATTGAAGACTCACCACTGCCGAGCACAGAGGACACACTGTGACTTCCTGAAACTAAAATTCATCCCTTGATCAAAACAGATCTTCCAAATTACAAACCAAGTCAAATACAAAATGATGTGTTGTTAATTTCTAGCCAAAGCTGCAGCAAGACATTTTGGTGCCTACGGCCAGGATGTCAGTTTAGTGCTTAGCCTCCCTTCCCCTTGCAAAATCCCTAAGCAGATCTAGAGCTGGCAGCAGCCTCAGTCCAGAGCTGTTCCCCTCATTGCTGCCCTCCTGCTCCTCATTTGATGTTTACCCTAGAGAATTGTTCAGGGCAAGTGCAAATGGGGAATATGCATCTGTCCCTCCTCTTGCCCTCACATTTTGCCAAAGCATTCCCAGCTGATCTTTGCCTACTAGATTATTTGCCTACAAGGTTATTTCCCCAATGAATAAGCAGTAGACTGAGTAGCTGTAACAAGCATAAATCATTCGACATACCCTGACTTCTCTGAACA